TGCTACAGCTTCACAGTAAAATCTGTGAATTTTAAACATTATAGAAAAAACTACACCAAACTTCAAAACCGGTGGATTTTGTACATTATAGAAAGGCCACACCAAACTTCAAAACCGGTGGATTTTGTACATTATAGAAAGGCTACACCAAACTTAAAAAACGGTGGATTTTGTATATTATAGAAAGGCAACACCAAACTTCAAAACCGGTGGATTCGGAATATTATAGAAAGACTATATTAAAGGACAGCTGTTAGATTTACGTTTTGTTAGTTCATACTTGAAACCAATCAATCTCATAGCAAGCCTTCGTGATATATACCAATCGTGCAGAGAAGACGTGTTTATCTAAACCAGAACCCAAAGACTTAGAAGTTGTATTTTTTGCTGATAAAGAGTTATCATTTTTATTATTATTATAAATTGTAAATAAAGAAGAGCAGTTACGTCTGGTGTTTCGTTGATCATTTCGATAAACTTAAGATAACAAATTAATCCTGGTTTTAGCTAGTTAACAGGACATCTCACAAGTTATAGAAAATGGTTAGTACAGAATCTGTGTAGTGTAAATCTAAACTTTACACACCCTAACATACATATTGGTAACGGCGCAACAAAACAAAGTACGTTTAAACATTGTCATGTCTGTAAGGAAGTAGAATATATAAAAAGGAACAATAGTTTATATGTATTAACATACCTTAAAATGAACGTAACAAGTTAACGTTAACACACAGGTAAAGTGAATAGAAGATAGATTTGAAAATACAAACAAAGCAAAAAAGAAGCACTAATAGATTAACGAACATAGGTAACACTGTCACACCTGCTGACTTGAAAACACGACGTACAGGTGTGATTTTAAGAGACCATAACTCTTTGGATACCTCTAGTTCCAAGTTAATAATTGAAACAAGGGCCATAACTCGTGCGAGTATATCGCTTGAGACGTATTAACCCTAACTTCATTTAAAATAGAAAACATTGGTTTTACCGTCATTCATTTTATTGCTAAGTTATACAAAACAAATCTTTCGCTATTTTTCAGGAGTAAAGTTGTCGGTTTTACCTTAAAACATATATAACTTCAGCTTTTGTCAGAGTTGTTGAGCAGCATTTGGTTGAAAAACTTAAAAAACTGTACTCAAACAAAGTTCTTTACATTAATACCACATAACCTGTATACAATGTACAGCTATAGTATACTGTTATTCCCACACAATTTATATATAGTCATGAACCAATAGGTAAGAACGTTACATCTATCTCCCTAAAACATTTTTTGGGATTTTCCGAAAGGTTTTTACTACGAATCAAGGAATCAATAATCCTAAATGTGTATACATGTTGATGTGAAAAAGTTGAATAACTATGTGTTTTTTTTATGTGGTATTCGTTTTTATTTTACATATTTCGGTCTTTCCTTATAATCTATTTCGATGCTGTTTGAGATATGATTATCTGACGAAAACCTCATCTTTATAACAAAGGTTCAACAACACATACTTGTTAATGCCAGGGAATTATGACGTCCTGCTAGGTTTTTTCGAAAAAATTCTGATGTTTCCCTTTTTACTATTATCATAATTTGGTTTCCTATCCAAATTTAGTACATACATGATAAATATGCACACACATTTGTGATTAAAAAAGACATAATTATATTATAAATACAATTTGATCACTTGAGAATAAATCAGCGTTTTCCTAGAGCTGGTTCCACGAACAAAGGAATAATTTAACTATCATGAATTTCGGTACGTAGATTTTTGGTGGTATGTCAATTAAAGACACGGTAAGGTAAGGGCAGTCTATGTAGTAAGGTATACGTAAGGAGTTTGAGTCAAACTTGCATTAAGAGACTACCATCGAGAAATCCAAAAGGAGGTGATCTTATAACGCAGGTGGTCTCCTTATAGAGGTTGTCACATGAGCAGGTTCACCTATATATGCTAGGAGGTATATATAAGCAGGTAGTACATTGATGTAGATTACAAATCAAAATCTAAACTAAACCAGAGCTAGTTCTACAAAAAAGAAACATCTACCCGGAATTATCTGGTTTGTAGTCATGTGACGCATTTTTGTACTTGTGTATCATTGACATAACTAGTCTGACTTCACTGATACCCGGTCCCTCGGATATGATGGTTAGTGTTACTAAATTTACTACTTTGTTTTATTATATGTCAACTTATCTATTGCTTCAGTTCATTTTGAATAGTGGAAGCAGTTTTTCCTTTAGTTACAAGTTATATAGGGGATATGTCGGGGACACGCCCAGTGTATGTGCTGTTTATTCTTGTAAATTGTATACAGCATACATTGATATCTATACAATTACAGTCAAAGCTGCTGCGACTAACTCCTCTAGTTCCTTCAGTTTTCCATAACAAAGTGAGTGGTTCCTCTCTTTTGTAATAAGCTTGATTGATCAAGAGATCAGGGCCTGTATTAATCAAGATGTCTTGATCAGGGCCTGTACTGTTCACCTCAATTTTTAGGCAGTCATGGTTAAATTCTCTCATTCAGAAGTGATAAAAGATTTTTTTCAAATATTAGGCTCTGCGTGTCGGTACCACAGGGGAGGGGCACCCTTCATTTATATAAAATGTGATTCCCTGATCCCTAGAAAGATCCATAACAACATTTTCTGAATAGTTTTTTCTAAAGACGTTTACACACAAATGGTCCTTTTACGGCATTCTTAATAGACTCTAGACAGATTAAAATATGCAATGAACGATCTGTAATGTTTCATAAAATGTTTCCTTAGTTCTGGTAGAAACCTGGTTAGTAAGCAGTATAAGATAATAGGGTGGGTGTCTCAACCGTTCCTATGTTCTGACTCAAAGACAAAGTCCCCAATGACAGGAATAAACCTTTCGGTCAAGTCCAGTAACAGCAATTGTTTATATGGTTATTAGGTAGGGATCTTAAACACCATTCTGGGGTTGGGTCAGACCCATGAACCTACCTGATAGTATGGGTATATTTGTCACATGATATCTAGTAATTGTTTATATCAGCTGAGAGATAAGTTCCTGGAGCGGGTCACAAACTGATGGGAGCTGACCTTGAAGTTTATCCTAGTAGCATGGTCATGTGGACTTGGGGTACGGCCCCTAGACAGAGGAAGTCTAAGTGTGCAATTCCTATGGCTCTTTATTTGATTTGGTTTGAGCCAGGTTTTTTGATGATTGTAGAAAACGGGAGTTTAAGGAGAAAAACCACTGTTCTGTGGCTCCCACGTAGGCCTCGAACCCGCGACCCAGTGGTGGAAGGCTAGAAACCAATGGTCAGACACCTAACCACTCGGCCACCACGGCCACTAACTCCCTGATTTAAAGTATAGTATCAGTGGAAATATCAACCCAAACTTCATTAACTCTCCAATCAAATTGCTATAATGATTGACCAACCACAATAAGTCATGACAGAAGTATTAATTTTGTACTTGGTGAATTAACATACATAAAGGTATCCTTATGTCTATTAAAGAGGGATTGTGCTTTATTATGGTGTTTTGTGTTTAGTTTTATATTGATGGTAAAATATGTCGATAATATCTTCTCAAAACCAAACAATTTTCAATAAGAAGGACTGAAAGGTAAATTTGACTAAAATGCAAGTTCAAATTCATCACCTTACAACACAACCGGTTTTCCTCGCGGGTATCATGTATTTTGGGCTATTTGTTTTCATTTAAAACTGAGAATATATAATATACACGGATTTAAACATCGCGATCTGAAGATTACCTATCTAGTTTTAATACTTACTGCTCCCGATGTCAATTTCAAAAGTATATCATGACGTTTTGCTTAAATTTTTTATTTATATGTATTCATGCATCGCTTGTACCCACCCAGTAAATTAATCTCATTGTTTTAATACACCTGTCATGAAACATAAAATCTATATAAACTATCACACTTGACAAGGTTGTTTTAGATTACAGATATCTATGCCTGATAACTGCGATACTGGCATAGCAGTTATAGGAGGTTGAAATGCACCTGTTTTCGCGGATAAGATCTACGCGTTTCATAATATTACATAGATCGAAATTTCGCGATCATGTATATTCTCATTGAGTTATCGGAAACATCATTCCCGCGACAAAAATAAGCCCCCTAAAAATGACTTTTAATGAATCACACGATGAAAAGCCGAAATACCTTTGATCAAATCAATTGAAACTCATACTAGGACACACCGTTCAAAAGTGTCAAAAAGTGTAGACGGCGAACTGTAAAATGTGCTTAATTTTTTTCTTTTAGTAAATTCATAGTCACAGGGTTAAATAGATTATCTTTTTAAATGGCATCGTCTTATCTTATTACGAATTATAAAATGTATAATAAATCCTTTATATTGAACAAATACAAAATCACGAAGACCGAAATAATGTCTAACCAAAAACTGTACTGATGATGCGACATAAAGTCATGCTACTTGGCCTTTTACTTGCTGGTATCAAGTTTATCTAAAAAGTGTCAATATAAACCTTGTATTTTGTTATTGTGAAAACTCAAATTATGTTTGTTAACAATATTAAGCATTTGTTTTATAGAAACTGCTGGAAGTTCGATAATGAATTCATGACTGCTCTCTTGAACGAAGAAACGCTTCAACAGCAACTGCGAAAATTTCCATCAACCTTTGATTTTGATTCGACGAATCTGACCAAGGACCGTGTAAAGGTCACCATAAGGAAATTAGAGGATGACCGAGACAGCACAAGAAAGCTTGAAACTGAAGATATACAGATAAATAACTTTCTGTCGTATTTGTATTTCTTGTTGGAAGACTATGAGCATGCGCATCAATATATTGATGAGTCTCTACAAAATGATCCCGATAATATCATAGCGAACGTAAACAGAGCCAGGATTCTATTAGAAACTGGGGATATTTCTAAAGTAGAAGATGCGATAGCAAAACTTCAGAAATTGGAGAGAAGAGAAGATTACAACAAGAGGAATTTTCCAACAATCTCCTATTGTGACAAATAACACAAACGCATAACTAAATTGCAACCGGGGCGACCGACCCCCGTACTGAATTTATTACACCATCACCATACATACATGTAATATCTATAATACCATGTACATCAACTCTCATCTCGTCCTAAGGTGCGAGCCCATAACGGAATACCTTAAGACCATGGATAATTATCCATATTCCAAGAACAAATAGTATTTGCCAAAATAGGCTAATTCTCGGTAAAATAATCGAACAGAGGAAAACATATATATATATATATATTTATCTCCTACCTATATTACATGTAAGTGCCCCCCGTACAAGACAATAAGATTACCGCTAGCGCGATATACCTAATCCAAAATTCATCGACTGTAAAAATACTTTATAGAGTACGAATAAATGTACCAAAAACTCAATACGTGTCTACCTGTCGAAGGTGGTCGCCTGAATGACACGTACGCCAAAATGCACGTGCATCGCCGACACCAAACGGCGCCACCTAGTGGCACACTCTCCGGTCGGAGAAAATATTTTCGTTCTAATTCTGCTTACTCAAACGAAAGAAATCATATTTCTCCAACAATCTCCTATTGTGACAAATAACACAAACGCATAATTAAATTGCAACCGGGGCGACCGACCCCCGTACTGAACACCAAAGAAAGGGGATGTCACTATAGTTATATACCTAAATTCTTCGAAACTAACAACCTCTCCTCAAAGGAATCCTTAACATATCCGTCTTTCGCGTTTTCCGACTTCCACCTTCCGTGCCTCTTGAAAATTCTATCCGCCACTTTTAAGTTAGCCGCGCTTGTAGCCCCGCCGGAACGTAGACTGTGTAAGCCATATTTACTGATATCAGGTACGAAGGGAGAGAAAACTTGAATAAACAACTCGCGCACCCGAGTGTAAGATAGAGGCTTGTTATCATTGTGCAACCTAAAACCTTCGCTAGTTCTAGTGATGGATCGAAATAGATACCAATCTGATCCAGGTATTAATCCCGCAAGTGCAACATATCTCTCCAAATTACATACGGGACATGGCTTTGTATACGTCCTAGCTATCACTACATAATCCCCATCCCTGTAAACATCGGTTTTGCTGTGGCGAATTGAAACTGTCATGTGACTCTCAGAAATTTTGATATCACGCATGCGTAAATTAAGTAATTCGGACACTCGTAAAAACCCTGCGTAAGCTATCAAACAACAACAAATAATACGTTGAGAAAACAAGTCATTCTCACTATAATTTGCGGAATACATAGATTCCAAAAGTTCCGGAGTAATGGGGTCCTTTCTGTTCCTAGCTGCCGACAAGCGCCTCTTTGCACCCTCGATAATGTTCCTCACTAATAATGTATCTGTAGGAGAATCTCTACCGATGATGGAATGTGCCCATTTCAAGCTATAAAAAACTTGAGTTACAGGACTAGATGTTGAATTATGCTGTACCAAGCAGGCGAGATAGAGAGCCGCGTGAATGGCCTTAGCCGGAAAACACTCCGCCTCCGATATCCCCTTATTTGATGCCCATGTTTTCCATCGCAAAAATCCCTGGTAGTATGCCCTTGTAGTGCTGCTGGCTTTACTTTCAACCAATAACTGGGGGAGGAGATTGACGTATCCGGCTAAGGCCCCTGGCAGCTCTGCAATCTCCCTCTTGAAAACCTGTGAAAATATATTTAAACAAACGAAATTAAAATTAAAATTGATCATTACTCATTACCTCGGAAATACAGGATTTGTAAACCTCCATTACAATTACGGATCTGTCAATTAACACAGGTTATATCTGTTGAAAAATTTAAACGTAAAGCAATCATCTTAAAAGGGAGATCAATCCTCCCAAATACAGATTTATTCCCTCTACCCTGAGAGTATGCTTCTTTGTTAGTGGGTAAGTATAAACATTCCATCACCTCTGGTATAAACCCGTCACCATTGGGACATAAAAATGGCCAATAACTGGCCGACCTCCACAGAGGTACAACCATGGTCCCATATGCACCACACTGCTGCATATAACTCAGGACACAATGCACTTTGCATACTGGTGGAACATACCACCCGTTTACACCTCGCCAATCGGCTGTAAACGCGTCTATACCGGACGACCCCACATTCCATTACCTGGATCAATACACAGGTAACTTGTTATTGTTGTCGCTCGCGAACCAGTCTATCTCGTGGGGCCCCCAAAGGGAATCTAAGTACTCGAAAATATTTCTGGAAACACCCCAGTCGTCATAATCGACAATGCGACTTATGTGGTCGGCTTTTTCATTTTCATTCCTTGGCACCCACTCAATAACCTATGATATTCCGTTTTCTAAACAAGTACCAAATATGGACAAAGCAATGCCCTGCAAATCGGCCTTCATACTACCCTTGTCTACAATAGATACAACATTCTGGTTGTCCGTGTACCACTTGACCCGCCTGCCGCGGAACACATGTAACATTGACGACAACACCCTGTCAACAGTGGACAGTTCTCGCCATGTAGAACTCTTACAGATCTCACTCTCTGACCACATACCGTGTGATGTGCCCAATGGGGTATCCACAACATACCCTCCGTATCCCGTATGGCTAGCATCACTAAATACAATCGACTGACAGGAATGATCATCACTGAACTTTTTCTCGTTGATCGGATTTACAAATCTGATCCAAAAATGAAGCTGTTCAACACTTTGACTTGACACCGCTATATTACTATTCCACGAGGGTGACATAGCTATATCGATGGTCAAAATTTTAATCATAATGTAGACCACATTTCCCAAGATATATGACATGGATATTATCTGTCCAACAACAGAAGACACCTTTTTAACCTTCACAACACCTGTCTCTGCTATATCCGAAATGACACCGGAAATGTTAGAATGCAACTTCATCAATCTTACATCTGGAACTTTCAAAATACCTAGGACAGTATCAATATAATTACCAAGAAAAACTAACTGTCTTACCGGTAATCAAGTTGACTTCTCTGGTTTCGGAACGAACACACTCAAAATCAAATCCCTTTTGACCTGACTGGATATCAAAGTGCATGCAGATTCATCTTCATGAGTGCCTAACCCATCATCTAAATACATAAGTATTTTCTTACCCTCGGATCTCCATTTCTTAATTAATGGTCTGTTTAATTTGGTAAAAATATAACAACCTGAGCTAAGTCCAAATGGTAGCACTTTAAACTTAAAAAACCTCACTGTGTCGCCAAACCGCCAAGAAAACCCCAAAAAATCTGTGTGAGAATCCAAAATATCGATGTGATGGTATGCAGAATGAATATCAAACTTAAAACAAAAACTCCCTTTCTTAACAAACTGCATAGCTATCCTAATATCCTCAAATTTCACACTGGTTTTCCATAAATGACAGTTGACATGTCTCAAATCTAGAATAAGACGTTTTTTCCCATTACTTTGAACAGACACCGTTAAAGGATTGACTACTACGGGTTTTCTTTACAGACAACGACGAGCTCCCTCAATATCAAGTCAGAAATAGCTTCCTCAACAAAACTTGCATGCGCCATAGCTGAGCGATTATTACGCAAAACTACAGAAGTAGGAGTCGAATAAAATGGTATTTTATACCCAACCCTGATCGTATCCAGAATAAATTCGCTACATCCAATACTCTCCCAGAAAGCTAATCGATCTCTCAATCGACCTTTCACCCTTATCTTAGCTTGACCTTGTTCATATTTAAAGTAATCGTCAGTAAGTAAATACTCATCTTTTATCAAGTCATTCTTTTTCGACTGTCGGGAGCACTTTTCCTTGGTTGGGACACTCGCTCCTCCAATGTTGGAAAGATCCACAGCTGTGACATGCTCCTGACCGACCCCGTCGCTGCGCGTACGCGTGCACGTGTGTGCCACCTGTGCCGGTAGGGCCTGACTGGAACACGGGAAAACCACTGAACCAAGGCATTGGGCCTTAAGGTCCACGAAAGGGCTGCTGATAATTGGAAATAGTACCACGCATATGGCTCACAGCACTAATAGACTTGTTATAGCCCGCGGATTTCCTCGCCTGCCGTTTTCCTTTTTTCTTTTTAATCGCACGGTTTTCGGCCCTGTTGATCTTCCCTTCATCGTCCGAATCACTGGCAATAGGATTGTTCTCGTACTGTCGGACCGTCTCCCAACCTCCATCGCTAGAATCTGCAATCTTGATATGTTTATTTCGTTTTGAAAGTTTATCTTGGATACTGTTCAACAATTCCTGGGCGTAGTCCTGTTTGGCGTTTTCTAAGGCCCAACTTATTTGTCCAACTTCCTCAGCCAACTCCGAATTGAAACCATGTTGTACCTTGTTCCCTTCAAACTTCCATTTATACGAATTTTCCACTTTCAGTTTTTTAACTTGTGTGGCCACGTTGGCGGCCGAACCCTTTACCTCGGCCTTGAACTGACTTATCTCCTGGCGCAAACTTGTATTAATGGCGCAAAGGCTGTTCCCCTGGGCTTTCACAGCGTTCCATATATCAGTTAAACTTATTTCGCCATTCCTTTGTGTTTCGTCTAAACCTTCAGCCGTATCCGCCATGGAAAAAGTAAAGTGTACCAAAAACTCAATACGTGTCTACTTGTCGAAGATGGTCGCCTGAATGACACGTACGCCAAAATGCACGTGCATCGCCGACACCAAACGGCGCCACCTAGTGGCACACTCTCCGGTCGGAGAAAATAATTTCGTTCTAATTCCGCTTACTCAAACGAAAGAAATTATATACACTATGCGGAAGCGGATCTTGCGTACGCCTACACACGGTCAGGTCCTTGGTACCGCCAAAAGGCAGTAGATTTGTACACTCGAGTTCTGGAGGCATATCCTACAGAATACGCATGGCAATATGGACTTGGTTTGGCTTTATTCAGACAGACGAACATTTTGATATCACAGGCAGATGACAAATTAACTCGGAGAGAAAACGAGAAGACAACAATACATGCTGTTGAGCTGTTTCTGACTGTTGCTACGGAACCAGATGATTCCAATTTACGTGCAAATGCATATGCAAGATTAGGAAAAGCAGTGTACAACATTTCAAAAAGCAACTATACAAACGTGCCTGATGAAATTATGCGTTTAAAGCCTAAAGAATATTTTGAAAAAGCGGTAGGAATTTGTCCTGAGGAACCATCGGTGTTAGAAACGTGTGGCCAATTTGCACGATACATAGGTGACCTAGATTCATCGGAAACACTCCGACGGAAATCTCTTCAAATCAAGCCAACGTGTCATGCGTATCACCATCTTGCCTTGACATTACAGAGGCGAGTAGAATACAAAGGTCCACATGGAGGTTCACGCTATGGCTACATTCAGAATGAAAATTGGCGAGAAAAAGGGGCATCTAGAGGATGCATGTCTGACCAGTCAGAAAGGACAAGAAGAAACCTTTGTCAAAAGATGAAGTCACCGTTGAATGTTCGAGTTTACCCTGGAAACAAACACCTTTCTGAAGCCATGGAACTACTGGAGAAAGCAGAAGAACTGTCTGAATATGCTCTGAATAAACAGTACGACAAGGGCATGATATGTAGAATGCTAGGCCAAATTGAAAAAGCTGTGGAAGTTTTCAAAAACATAGTCACCAAAAAGAAACATTATCCAACCGAATTTCTGATGACAAATGTTTATGAACAGCTGGGACTGTGTCTGCTAGAATTTAGTAAATCCGTAGATATCTCTCCAGACATTCAGCAGAAATACAAGAAAGATGGCCAAGCCAATCTCCTACATGCTGTCCAACTCCAATCGGAGACGGTTGCAAACGATCCACAGTTCAAAGAAGCATGGAACGCCTATCCAACACTCAAAGAGCTCTTCAGCGATGAAAGAAACAAGTAGCCAAAACAATTGGCAGTTTTGCACATGCTCATGGGGGATCATAGAGATGCAATCTCCATATACGAGGAATTACTTTTGAAGGAGAAAGATGAAATTAACCAAGAGGATTATATTAACTTGCTTGAATGCTATAAGAGAGATGGACAGTTTGAAAAATGTGTTGTTGTTTTAAAATCTTTGGAGTGTACAACTATTTTTTTGGGTCTTCCTCCGTCTTTGATCTTTGATGTGTATATAGATTGTGCGTTTCACGTTTACACAACGGATAACGCACAACTTGCGTACCAACACTTTAGACGCGCCTTCAGAGTGTACGGTATGTTTGACAAGATCAATGAAGACGCAATCAACGTTGACGAAGACGAGGCCACAAAAGACATACTGATATTACACTCTTGTTCCCATGACTCGGAATGCAAACTTCCCAGGAATCTAGGAACCATTCTAGAAGATGTTACAGGATTACGATACACAATCAACTCAGACGACGTGCTGCCAAATGAATTACTATTGACATCAACGGCTTCTATAATACAGAAAATCCCATGTATCATAATCATTACCCACGATTGTACGGACTCCACGAGTGTGGATCAATTATATGTCGATCAAGCTATCAAAAGGAGTTCCGAACAAAGTGGCCCCCAAGTGTTGGTCGTGACGGACGACGAGCGCAACATGCCAGATATTGCCAGAACAAAGTCGTTTATCCGGATGCATCCTCCGTCAGAGGGCGCTATGGACCCGAACGAACAGATACCAGAGGAGCATCAAGAATGGGTGAAAGAGTTCATCACTCTTCTGAAACCAAAATAACCAATTTGTCTCCATATTGCTATAACTGCCGCTATATTCGTTTGAGTATCCTAGTATAACTGCTAGGGTTAGCCCTTCATACATTGCGGAACTTTTATTACAAAAACATATAAAGGAGTAATTAACAAAATATAATCAACAACAGTGTTCCGAGTTTGAAAATACAAAACCAGCAGGAGCTAAAATTGTATTCGAATCCTAGACTTCAGATTGTTATACTGTCCCTCTAACCAACCTAGCTACCTTCTCAACGAAAGTGTTCTGATCCAAGTGTGCTACAGTTATATACGACGCGAAATTAAAGGGAGGTCACTGTACATACGAACAACCGAGAGTGCATTGACACGTGTCCTTTACATAGAAGTGTACACGCTTTAATTCCGTGAATGAGATCAATGAGTGTTACAAATTTACTTGAGCAAACAACTAAATCAACAACTGAGGAAACAACTGATCAGTTTGACATCAGCAGTTATAACAACAATGTACACTTCTGTCTTTGTGTTCAAAACATCACTGAACAAGTTTGCTTTCAGTCATTATTTTATCAATGTACAGTATCGCGCGAGCACTCGTTACACCAGCTAATTGTTTGAGGTTACTGAAAAATATTTTCGATAATTTAACTTAGCTATGCCAAGCCAATCAACAACAAAAATACTGTATATAATGAACCGTGTCTGTAAATATACTGTATATAAATTGCCTTGGCTATGAAAATATTTCATTTAAAGAAAAGTTTCTACAATATATATATAAAGGAACCTCTTCTCTAAAAAGTCATATCAATGTAGAATATTGTACATAAACAACCATTCAATACAGTATGCTTTATATATAGAAAGTTTTCTACGAAGACATTTGTATATTAACTTTTTAGTTATTTTTTAGACAATCTACGTGTTATAGTTATTTTTCTTGATTGTTAATTGACCTTAAGTGTTTCTGACGTCAATGATCTGTTAATGTACTTATAAGTGTCACAATATTATTATTCAACAATACAGTATGCTTTATATATAGAAAGTTTTCACCGCAGACATTTGTATTTTAACCATTTAAGTGTTGTTTTTTTAGACAATTAACGTTTAATAGTTATTTTTCTAGATTGTTCATTGACCTTCAGTGTTACTGACGTCAATGCTCTGTTAATGTACTTTTAAGTGTCACTGATGTCAAATATCTATTCTTTGACGTTTTGTGTCACAGATGAGTGTCACTAATGTTAATGTTGTGTTAATTGACCGGTAAGTGTCACTGATGTTAATGGGTTTTATATTTGATAGTTAAATGTGAATGATGTCAATGTTTTGTTTATTGACCGTTAATGTGAATGATGTAAATGCCATGTTAACTGAAACAATGAAATTGATGACGTTACAAAAGCAAATATTGTTATAGTGTCATAACAACATTTGCATTCTCAATGCATTGCAATGGCAGAATGGAGAGCAAATGTAAATATATGCAAATGTTGTCAAAGTTTTGTTAATTGATAGTTAAGTTTCAATGATTTCAACGGTTTGTTAATTGACCTTAAGTGTCACTGATGTTAATGTTTTTTTGTATTCGATAGTTAAATATCAATGATGTCAATGTTTTGTTTATTGACCGTTTAATGTGCATGATGTATATACCATGTTAACTGACCTTTAAGTGTCACTTATGTTAATGCGCCGTAAGTTGACCGTCATGTGTCATTGATGTCAATGTTTTATTAATTGACCCTAATGTGTTAGTGACGTCAATATTCTATTCATCATACTTTTATTGTCGCTGATAGGACTGTTTTTAATTGGACTTTTGGCGTCAATGATGTTAAAAAAAAATTGTTGATTAACCGTTAAATGTAATTGAAGTCAATAAGGTCTTTTCAATGACCTTTAAATGAAAATGACCGTTAATTAAGCAATGGATGTTTTAACAAATGTTGTTATGGTCCTATAACACACATCACTATTGATGAAAAACTTAATAAAGCCCAGCCGGGATTATGTAAGTTTGTCAGCAATAACAATGTGTGTTATAGGATCATAACAATATTCGCTAAAATATTCATTATTCATATTAAATTTTACATTTTGATAGAGAAGTTATGCTTTATGTAGTTATTTCGAACAGTTCTGTGAACAGCAAGTTAAGTCTTGACAACAATGAAATTGATGACGGAACAAAAGAGATTGATGTCGTTACAAAAGCAAATGTTGTTGAAATGTAAATATATGCAAATGTTGTCAAAGTTTTGTTAATTGATAGTTAAGTTTCAATGATTTCAACGGTTTGTTAATTGACCTTAAGTGTCAGTAATGTTAGTGTTTTATTGATGAACGTTACATTTAAACGATGTCAATGCCGTGTTAATTGACCTTTAAGTGTCACTGATGTCAATGTTTTGTTTATTGACTGTTAAATGTCACTGAAGTGAGTGCTGTGTTAAGTGATCGTCAATTGTTACTGTGGTGAATATTTTTTAAGTTTCTTTAAAGTGTCAATGATGTCAATGTTCTAGTAATTTACTGTAAAGTGCCACTGAGGTAAATGTTTTTTCTGATTGACCTTTAAGGGACAACGACGTCAGTGTTCTGTTAACCGACTGTTACGTGTCAATGGTTTCAATGTATGTTCTGTTAATTGACCGTTGAGTATCATGTCGATGCTTTTAATTGACTTTAAAGTTTCACTGATATAAATGTTTTTTAATTAACCGTTAAGTGTGACTGATGTCAATGTTTCTTAATTGACCTTTAAATGTTAATGTTCTACTTATTGACCTAAAGTGTCAATGGTGTCAGTATTGTGTCAATTGACCGTAAAGTGTCACTGAGGTCAAATATATTGTAACCTATGAGTGACAATGATGTCATTGTTCTATTAATTATAAGTGTCAATGATGCCAATATTGAGTTAATGACTGTTAAATGTCAATGATGTCAATATTCTGTTAATTAATCTATAAATGTCAATATTCTACTCATTGACCAAAGTGTGAGTGATGTCAATGTTTTGTTGATTAACCTTTTAGTGTCACTGATTTTTTTTTTTTTTAAATGACTTTTTAGTTTCAATGGTGTCTTTTAATTGAACTTTAATTGACATTATTGTGCATCTTTTTTACTGACTGGATTAGTCTTTTAATAACTATCAACCTTTCAGACACAAAATAATGCATTAATAATGAAATATTTAACATGAAATTTTACTTGCTACAAAGCAAATAATGTTATTGAAAAAATATACAGTTTTATAGTAGCGATATAAAAAATTGTCAAAAATACTTGTAATGCACCAATGAAAGCATGAATATATATATAACATATCATAAAATATTTTAATTTTAATTCATTGAGTATGTCTTTACTTAATTGAGATGATACATATGATATTGTTGATTATTAATTGTTTTTTGTGAATCAAAGGACATTTTGAGACTGGATCTCGCGATGGTTAAAGTTGACAATCATAGTGTGTTAGTCTTAAAAAAACTTGCATTAGTTCAATTCATCACACTATGATACCATATCAAGTGTCAATCCTTATATATCCTTTATGCATATCAAAAGTGCTGTAAAGAAAACTATAATATCTTATGTACTATCGTGAAATCTTTGGCAATGCATCGGGAAAAAATTGATTGTGAGTTCATTTTTGCAACAATACTGTAAGATGACGTCACAATTCAAGGAGGAAGTTTGTAGGATTGCAGACATAATGTGGAAAGTTTATAGGTAGGTAGACGTAACGTGGTTAGTCTGTGAGAGGATAACATTGTTTGGGTAGTTTCAGAGAGGATATACATAATTCAAGTAGTTTTTGAGAGTGGAGACATAAGTAGCGTAGTTTATCGGTTGGTAAACATACATTTGTAGTTGATGAGAGGATAGACATATTTTAGGTGCAGACATAAGTTTGGTAGATTGTGGGTGGGTAGGCATACATTTGGAAGTTTGTGGGAGGGCAGACATAAGTTTTGTAGTTGGTGGGAGTGCAGACATACGTTTTGTAGTTTGTGGGAGTGCAGACATAAGTTTTGTAGTTTGTGAAAGGTAAGGTATAATTTGGGTAGTTTGTGAGAGTACAATCATAAGTTGGGTATATAATGGCTGGGAAGACATACATTTGGGTGGTTTGTGGGAGTACAGACATAATTTGGGTGGTTTGTGGGAGTACAGACATAATTTTGGTGATTTACGGAGTACAGACATAATTTGGGTGGTTTGTCGGAGCACAGACATAATTTGTGTGGTTTGTTGGAGTACAGACATAAGTTGGGTAGTTTGTGGGAGTACAGACATAATTTGGGTAGTTTGTTGGAGTACATGCATAATTTGGTTGGTTTGTGGGAGTGAAGGCATACTTTAGGTGGTTTGTTGGAGTACAGACATAAGTTGGGTGGTTTGTGGGAGTACAGACATAAGTTGGGTAGTTTGTGGGAGTACAGAAATAAGTTGGGTAGTTTGTTGGAGTACAGACATAATTTGGGTGTTTGTGGGAGTGCAGACATACGTTGGGTGGTAGTTCGTGGGAGGGCAGCCATAATGTAGGTAGTTTGTGAAAGGTTAGGTATATTTTGGGTTGTTTGTGAGAGGTCAGAAAGATTTACTGTACCATATGACCACTTTGTCCATTTAGGACACATCAGTTAAAGTCAAAACTATAAAAATCAATACATAAGATGTTCTGATAATATCTACAAATACATCAAAAGAGGAAGCTGTTTATATAACAAGTTTGACGTTAC